AATAATCGTGAAGAGAATTATTACACGATATAAGCAACCGACACTGATGAAATGGAACAATAACAAATCGTATTACCGACGGACACTTGCAGAAACGACCGTAGTTAAGCACTATATTTGTTTTTGTTAGAAAATATATTTTTTAAGAGAAACACTCGCGCTATTTGCTCACTAAATGACGGTACGTACCTTTCACTAATAAATAAATATTTATTAAATAAATATGTGATGTTGACCAGGTGATTGTTTGTATTTTCTTTTGAGTTTTCCCCTTGTGATGTTGACGAAGTCAAACCTTGTATAAATAGGGAAGAAGAAGAGCCAATTAGTATTTTTTGTTGCTGGAAACAGGAATCTCGGCTCGAAGTGACAAAAATGTTGAGTAGCAATGTAAATAAGAAATAAATAAAACACAATAATTATAATTTTGAAATAAAAATTGGCGGTTTTATTTGTTATTAGTCGAAAAACTAATACTTATCTTGTATTTACAATGGCGTTGCTGGTGATGTTAATTGGACGAAGATCCGAAAAACAAGAAGAGAGTTTATTGAAAAAACGAGAAAGCCTAGTTATCCCAAGAGCGGCAGCTGTTTTTACCCGTTATAATTTGTCATCGTTAAAATTTGAACGAAAATTCAATGTTGGACAAAAGAGTACTGTGACAAATTATAGAAATAGGAAAAAGGATCGCATTTCATACTCTATACTAAATTGAACTTGTACAGATTAATGAACTCAAAAAACCATATGTCTTTTGTTTTCGTAGTACATCAATAATTTTTGTACACATATAGAGAAAAATATACTGACTCCGAATACGTTCGCGATCAAGTTTTTGGTTGATGCACGCAAAAGTTATTGAGGTTTTAAATTTGGGTATAAGAAATCAATCTTAAAATTACGTCCTTTATCATATTGACAAAAAATTTTCATATATGACTTCCTACGTAAAATATGAATATGCAGATATTATAATAACCACGAAAAAGTTGCACATTTTCGAGAAATAGGAGATAACGTCATTATTTTCAGTATATTAATGACATGTATCCACTTACAAATTAACCTTAAAATATCTGCATAATCTGAACACCACGATAAATCAAATTATATCGAAATCACTTAAGTCGGCGTAGCGGTTTGTAAATGACCGTTACAATAAAACGTGATATTGAGGACAATTGTTTGTTTTCGCTTCGAAGAAATAATGTCATCATATTTATTTGTTTAATTTTATACAAGAAATTTCAGACAAAAATGTTGTGTTATATAATAAAACGATATTGTGAAATATACATTTTAAATTGCGTAATTCTCAAAATCATTTAATGTGAATGCGGTTTCCAGGAAGTACTGAAGTTTATCTTCCCAAAAACTCGTAAAACGCGAATAATTTCCGAAAAGTCTATATGCCTTTAACGCGCATCCGATTTCGGCGTGCATCCTAAAAAAATACATCGATGTATACATATTTCAAGGCGGTCCATTAAGGACCATGGATGAACCAGCTCACACTATTTTTGAAATAAATTGGGTACAACTTTCTTTCGGCTGAAGTATTAAAATTTCTGTTTTCACAAAAGTTCAAAATCGGTATCAGGCTATTTATTGAAACGGAAATGATCCACAGAAAATGCAAATTAAATCCGCGATATCTTCAAAAAACATTTTGTGCAAAAATTCGCCCGAAAAATAGTGTTTTTAGAAATATGATCTAACAAGAAATTCACCATTGAATGAGCATTTTTTTGAAGCTGTGCATACTACAGAAACAAAATATATGTCAAATTAAATAAATAAATAAAATAAATAAAACAAAACATATGTCAAATTAAATATATGTCAATTATAAACGATTTTTCAGAAATTACTGTTTGCGTATTAAAGCTCGAAATTATATAAAAACACTCAAAATCGAACTTCAAAATGTCAGTGCCACTTAAAGTTAGATGCATTTAAAATTTTGAAAAATGATACATAAGAAACGTCATCTATATTTTGTCGGCTTCTAGTTTTTCTTTGACGTGAACACCGAAAAATGAGTAGTATAACGTAAGGTCACACTAGGCAAATATTTGGCGAAAAGTGTCAAATATATCTTTGCCATAATATGACCACAAAATGTCAAACACAAAAACAGCGTATTCTAGGCACAAAATTATTTAACAACAAACGAAATTTTGCGTGATTTGCCCACAATGTGAACGCCTACCTTCATATATTTGCCTTATTTTTCGGCAGTATGTATTGTATGTTCATCACAAGCCAAATAAATTGCTTTACGCTCAATGGCAAACACAAAAACATCGTATTTTGGGCACAAAATTATTTAACAACAAACAAAATTTTGCGTGATTAGCCCCCAATGTGAACGCCTACCAACATATATTTGCCTTATTTTTGGGCAGTATGTATTGTGTGTTCATCATAAGCCAAATAAATTGCTTTACGATAATTACGTCATTAACCTGTATTGATGACTCATCTTTCTCTTTTCCTCTTGCTATGTTGTGTGATCATATTGTATTCTCTCTCATTCCCTCTTATTGTTTTATGCCGTCCGTCTGTTCCATATTTTCTTTCGTCTTCCCCAATTTAGTCCATTTATAAGACCTTGATGACTCTGAAAGTTTATTGACCCCTAAAATCAATAGCGCGTGTGTCCCATATTTGTTCTTCCCCCTCCTTTGTTCCGCAAATATTTCTCGTAAGCTTATGTGTGTTTTGCCCCTTTCCCTACCCACTTGTTTTCTTTTGTCTTCCCAATTTTAATGTAAACAAATATAATGTTTAAAAGCGAGGGAAAATTTTAAAAAATGCATTTAGTTTAAAAAATCTGCACACTGAGTGAAATTAAAAAAAAATGGAATTGAACACCCAATATTTGAATGTTTTCATGGAGGAGGAAAACGAACATTTAGAAGCATTCAACAGAATAATAAAAGAGTATGAGCAATAAAAACTCAAGACAGCGAAACAAGGAGATGTGGAATCCATAACAAAAAATTTATGATTGAAGATGGATTCGAAGGAGGGAGCAGCAGTAGCGATCAGTACAGGCAGGAAACGGAGTCCACAACGCTAGATGATCAGGAGAACATCGGGAATGAGGAGGACATATAAAGTTACCCACTCATACCAGAAGGACAATCCCTACGGACATTGGATCCTAACGATCCATGGTTTGAAAATTAGAAATATTATTATAAAAAACTAGCTGACCTGGCAAACGTTGTTTTGCCTTAGTTATAAGTATATTTCATTTTTAACCAAATTCTTGATTTGTTTTCAGATTGCCTTTATAAATTTGTATATGTTTGCAATATATTGGCCAATGTTTGGCCAATGTTGGCGCCGTATACCTTCTTTTAATTGTAAATGCCAGTTTTATATCTTAACTCTAAATCGTGAAATGTTTAAATCGGATTTGTTATATCCTCACATTTTTAGCAACTTGATTTCAATTTTACTTTTGAATAAGTTGTTGTTTGTGGTTACATAGGTCCACATCCAAAATTCAAATTGTTTGCAAAAAAGAAAAAGAAACATTGTCGAATTTTTTGACAAATATGAACATTAGATTTCATGTCCAATAGCTTAGGCTCTGAAGAAAATAAGACACAACTAAAAATATCTGACGGGGATACAAATATTGATATCATTACCATTATGTTCGTCGATGTTAATGATCGCATTTTTAGTATTAGATCATTTGCCTTATTTTTGGGCAGTATGTATTGTATGTTCGTCATAAGCCAACCAAAACAGCGTATTTGGGCACAAAATTATTTAACAACAAACAATTTTGTGCCCAAATTTTTGGCGTGATTTTCCCACAATGTGAACGCCGACCAACATATATTTGCCTTATTTTTGGGCAGTATATATTGTATGTTCATCATAAGCCAAATAAATTGCTTTACGCTAATGACGTCATTAACCTGTATTGATGACTCATGTTTCTCTTTTCCTCTTGCTATGTTGTGTGATCATATTGTATTCTATCTCATTCTCTCTTATTGTTTTATGCCGTCCGTCTGTTCCATATTTTCTTTAGTCTTCCCCAATTTAGTCCACTTATATGATCTTGATGACTCTGAAAGTTTATTGACCCCTGAAATCAATAGCGCGTGTGTCCCATATTTGCTCTTCCCCCCTCCTTTCTTCCGCATATTTCTCGTAAGCTTATGTGTGTTTCCCCTTTCCCTACCCACTTGTTTTCTTTTGTCTTCCCAATGTGGTCCATTCGTATGACCTTGATGACCCTGAATCAATACCGCTTGTGTCCAAAGGGGGAATTCTTCCGTATTTTTCCGTAAGCTTATTGAAGCATGATTGAATCTTTGTTGTTGTGGCCAATATGAATCTACTGTTTGTAGTTTGTTAGAATTTACAAGATGTAATATCTGTCCATTGAAGCATATTTGAATCTTAATTCTCTTATCAGCAAGTGTTTGTTGCTATGATTTGAGAGGCGCCCATCGGTCTCTAAATTCTACCAAGACCATGCGCCTGTCCCACCATTGATTATCTGATTGATTTGCAAGATCATTATTCCATGAAATTTTAATTTTCTTTAGGTTTTTTTAATTGTATATTTGTAAATGCATTGAATTTGAAAACCCTATATTTTGTAGTATAAGCATAGTTAGTGATATTTATACATATTGAGAAAATATAGTAGTTAAAAAAACAATTTTTCTTTCTTACTAATACTTTGTTCTATAATAATCATGCTACATTTTTCAAAAATGCAAAATTTCTATGATGAAAAAATGCTAGATTTTGGGAAGCATTACATGATTGATCCTTATCAATCAGATATTTAATGTAAACAAATATGATGTTTAAAAGCGAGGGAAAATTTGAAAAATATTGTTTGAAACATCTGCACATTGAGTGAAATTGAAAAAAAAATTGAGTTGAACACCCAATATTTGAATGTTTTCATGGAGGAGGAAAACGAACATTTAGAAGCATTCAACTGAATAATAAAAGAGTATGAGCAACAACAACTCAAGACAGCGAAACTGCGAGATGTGGAATCCATAACAAAAAAATTATGATTGAAGATGGATTCGAAGGAGGGAGCAGCAGTAGCGATGAGTACACGCAGGAAACGGAGTCCACAACACTAGATGATGAGGATACCATCGGGAATGAGGACGACATTAGAAATGAGGAGGACATCAATTTTGACGCCGTATACCTTCTTTTAATTGTAAATGCCACTTTTATATCTTAACTCTAAATCGTGAAATATTGAAATCGGATTTGTTATATCCTCACATTTTTTTAGCACCTTAATTACAATTTAACTTTTGAATAAGTTGTTGTTTGTGGTTACATAGGTCCACATCCAATATTCAAATTGTCGGCAAAAAAGAAAAAGAAACATTGTCGAAATTTTTGACAAATATGAAGAAAATAAGACACAACTAAAAATATCTGACGGGGATACTAATATTGCTATCATTATCATTATTTTCGTCGATGTTAATGATCGCATTTTTAGTATTAGAACACACACATAGGAAATTGGAAGTTTTGCTCTAATGAACTCATATGTCTTGAAAAACAACAATTTATTTAGCTCGATACAATAATTGGGGAATTACTTAATACATATGTTTTGGCGGATTCTCAAAATTCGTTTGCATATTTTTCTAATCTAAGTTTTTTGAGTCGTCAAAATCGGTGCAGACTTTCTTGAATTATGAACGATGTAACTAACACAACGTTCGATTATTCCAATTTCCTTTTTCACATCTTTAAGAGTACATTTGGGGAACCATAAAGGCACACATAAGTTGGACACAAACAGCATGTAATGTGGAATTGCCTCCAAGTAGGATTTGAATTTAAATGTATTCTTCCCCAATATAAGAAAATGTTCAATAATACCTTCGTGTTTTGTTGGCGTATTTGTAATCGTATATAGCGAATTACTAACATCATTGAACTATATTGAATATATTGATAGAAGTTTTCGTTTTTACTAAAACATAAAAACGTATTTCTATGTATTGGCAATTTTCTAAAAAATATTCCTGGTGTTGTTTTCTATTAAGGACACGATCAAGTTTCGGTCAGTGGCCCAGATATCACATGGGATATGTGTTGTATTTATAAGTTCAAAACAAATTGTTCCATTATTTGTGTTTTTAAGCATCGTTATCCAATTTTAAGTATTTGGAAAGTAGTAACAAAATATCTCTTGCCTTTAATTCGGTATTCCCCATAGTGCAAGAAACTTCCCTCATAATAATGGAACCGCTTAATATTTACTTTGCCATGTCTTGCTGTGTTTTATTTGAGAAAAATTTCACAACCTATACATACCATGCAAATTTCTTCACATAACATAACTTATATTTTCAAAATAATAAATTTTTGAATTTTGAGTTTTATGCCTTTTAGAGCGAAGAATCATTCATGTAAATGTTTTTTATTAATTTATCTTTCGAGATGAGCTACATGATCGGAGTTGCAATGAAAAGGAAAGCCAGAGAGATACTACATTCCCACCATTATGCGACGCGTTTCGCCGTTGGTTAAGCGGCTCAACATGCATATGCAATGGGCAATGTGGCTTACAAACGTCTTTACTTGATAAGTTGTATTTATGTCGACTATTGTTGCGAAATGCATCTACGGCATCACACCTGAACATTCCTTTTCAGAGCAGATTTTTCTTGTAGTGACGGACTTTCAACGGTATGCAACTGCATATTGTGCAACCATAGGAAGATAAAGAGGTGGCTTTGAACGCTAAGGCGCCGGACAACAATTTATATAAAATATATTTATATATGTTATGGTATTGGGTTTTGATGCAAGCTTCTTGTTCGAAGTACTAAGAGTTTGTTATATAATTGTAATAAACTATCGCTTATATATTTTGTGGAATTGGGTTTTTCCCACTGAGAACCTAAAAATATGTTTTTCTCACGTTATCCTACACTATCGTTAGCTATTGAATAGTTCTACGACTTTTAAGGATTTATAACGGAAATTCGTTCACAAAGTGAGAGCTTTTTCGTTTTCATACTATTTTCTATAAAATGCATGCTAAGAGCCATTGCAAATAAATGTGATGAATAAGTAAAAATTGAGTGATTTAATTCGAAGAGGATAAAAAAAGACATCATCACATTGTTTTACTATGCACACACTTATTTTCAAATTTCACTTTATTAACGTGTTAAAAAATGTCCAATAACCCTAAACATACTGTAAATTGGAGGATGACCGTAATATAGGCCGCACTGAAACGAGGGCCAATGTTAATAATTTTTGGTAAACCAAAATAAAAAAAGTACAGCCGATTCGGTTAAAAAATGTTTTAACAATACTCAAAATACGAGGTACCGTTACATAAGAGCTACCGTAAAAAGTGGACCAATATTGACCATTTTTGATAGGTAGCAAAATTGGTTAAAATACTTGTCCATAATTGCCAACATACTGAAATTTTTATTGCATAGATTTTTGGGGGCTACACTGAAAAGTGGTTCAATATTTATAATTTTTGATACAGACATTTAATATCTAATGAGAACCCAAAATATCAAATAACAGCCAATTCAGTTCAAAACGTGTTCAAAATAGAGAAAATTTGGAGGTACCTTTATATGGGGGATATGCCTAAACGTCGATTGATATAGCTCTGGCACTTCTGTGCAAATGTTTGGACATTTGGCTCAGTTTCTGCCCAGATCGTCTTAAAATTTTACACTGATCAAGAATATAAATATTTCATGGTGTCAGAAACGATTTTTTTTTAAAAACATACAACGATGGAGGGTGTAAAAATGGGTAAAAATATGATGAAGCCAACAATTGCTTTGTCTTTTGCTAATTTGTGACTAAAATGCACCATTGTGCTCAACGACTGATTTAAATAAGTTAAAATATTAGGTTGTCAAAGTTTGGTTCAAATCCGATGGTCTATTCCCAATTAATTTTTAGCAAACTTTAGACCATTTTGTGGGGCAGGCACCAGAAGGAGTGAACCGATATTCCCCATATTCGAACTAGATTTTAGTTTGAAAGAAATATTACGATGTGCACAGCTTGGACCAAATCGGACATTCTGTTCGCTTTATATTAGATTTATGAATATTCAATATGTTGAATATTCAAGAAGTAGAGGACCGATAGAATTGGTAAAAATATTGCGTTGTGAAAAGTTTGGATGAAATTGGCTATTGAGTTACAAGTTTTCGAAATATTGACTCTTTGTAGGGGAGATACTAGAAGAAGTGGAATAATGAGTCCCATCTTCCAGCATTATACATGTTTCGTTAAAATATTAGGTTTTGCAGAGTTTAGTTGAAATCGGATAGTCAGTTCGCATTATATTATAAAATTAATTTTCATCAAAATGTTGACCATTTTGTGGGGTAGCTTGATTTAAGTTTGGAAGAACTTTTATGATGCGCAAAGTTTGAAGGAAATCGGTTACTCCCTTCGAGAGTTATCTCACAAACACGCAGACGGACGGCGGATATTTGTAAATAAGTCCAATTTGTGTGAAACGGATTTGGTCCAAAGAACCATGGAGTATAAAATCAATATTTCGATGAGGCAGAAATCTGCCGTAGCAAAGTATATATACCCTCACTAGCCGTAAGGCGGAGCTTATAATAAAAAAATTTTCTTTTAATCTATGCATCAACAATTATAGATTATTATAGAAATCACAATTGCAGTTTCACTAAACAACTTAGTAATTTTGCAAAAATGTACGTAATTATTTCTTAAGGATATAATGATACGAAATATCTAATATCTGTATAAAAATTAAAAATCAATCCTCATTTCGCCCCCCCCCCCTGGCTACGTCGGTGGCGGACATGATAACTTCTAGCTGGAACATCGGAATCCGAAAATTCCAAATGTCCGGCTCTCGTATGAACAAGGATTATTCACTTTGCACAACAATTAACAAAATTGGGGAACTTTGTTTTTTTTTTGGAAATTGGCTATTTTTGGCCACAAACTAAGTTAAAAAATAAGGAAGATCTTCACCGATTGGCATTATCCTAGTTCATACGAGAGCTATACACTCCCAGAAAAACGTGTCAAAAATTGGAACCCATTGGATTATTAGTTTTTGACTTATCGTGCCCGCCATTCGTAAAACACTACTTCCAGAAAAATGCGTTTAAAGTTTACTCTTGCCGTCGCTCTAATCTGGAGCTTCTACAATGTTTTTCAACCTATATCGCTATGATTATGCATTGCGGATCCCTGGTGAATATTCAATTTGTTATGAGTTTTCCATGTTTCAGTACGGGTAATTTCCTATCGCAGTTCCCATTCCATTTCGCAAAACGCAAATCGGTCTCGTATGGAAAGAAGGAATTCATGTGAATGCTACAGTAGATACAGGTGCTACAAGATGTTTTATCGGCAAGGCATTTGCTGGTAAGATCAAGAGAAGTAGTACAAAGCTTCGCCATAGCGCCATTGTGACACTAGCAGACGGAACAAATCAACAAGTCGACAACAGGAGAGAAGATGCTCATTATGGATGAGACCACTCGGTTTGGATTGGTTGGTGAGGTGTAACGCTCAGATCAAATGCGCGGGGTTAACCTGCAAATTCGAGAGACCGATTGCAAAATGTGTTGAGATAGTGGTGAAGAATCTGAACCTTATTGCGAAGAAGTGGGGGCGCCACCGCTGGAGCCAGGCGACCACTCACAGGCAGAAGAACCACAGACCGAGGAGAGGACAGAAAGTGTCCTAATCAGAAAGTGTCTTAATCAGGAGACCCCAGTCTCCAAGAACAACAAAGAATTCAAGTTTTCCCAGAAGAGGAACTACAGAAATTTAGAGATATGCAAAGGAAAGTATGCATGGATATCCTTCATCTGAACAGCAAATGCGACCCAGATGCATATGCGTTGGCCAGGATACCCTACATATTGGATAGATTGAAAGAACCCAGATACGTTTGTAGTCTGGATTTAAAGTATGGATACTGGCAGATTCCAATGAAAGAAAGCAGTAAGAAGTATACAGCCTTTACAGTTGCCGGTCGCGATATGTACCAATGGAGAGTAATGCCGTTCGGACTTCACTCTGCACCTGCCATTTTTCGACGAGCTTAAGACAGTACAATTGGTCCTGACTTGGAACCGCATGCGTTTGCCTCGACGACAGTCACCGGCAAGACCCTCGAAGAACACTAAAAGAATCTAAGTGAAGTATTCGGGCGACTTAGAAGGGGAAACCTTAAAATTAATCCACAAAAGTGTGAGTTCTTCAAGCGCGAGACCAAGTACATGGGACATGATGGAAGAAGTTAAACTTAAACCAGATAAATTCTGAGACTTCGCTATTGGAGATAAGCAATTATTCCGGTATATTGCAAGACACCCCAAGGATGAAGACTGTACACCAAGGAAACTTTGTGTGGCGACACATTTGCGTGAACGAGCGTTGGAAGAGAATCATAGTCAGCCGGTAGCCGGAAACTTTAGAATCCGAATAACTATCAAAATAGTTTGCAACAGATATTATTGGCCGAGTATGGTTCGCGATGTGGCGAACTTTGTCCGTAGATGACAGTCGTGTCAGCAGTATAAACCCTGTCAAGTTGCTCCAGCGGGTGTTGGTTACAATACCTGAGGAGTCTTGGGTCACTGTTTGTGGTGACTTTGTAGGCCCTTTGCCAATAACAAAGTACGGTAACACAATGCTGCTTGTGTTTTTCGACCGATTTATAAAGTGGATTGTGCTAGTGCCTATGCGGAAAGCCACCGCAGAGGGAGTTCTTAAAGCATTTCGAGAGCATATCCTAGCAAGGTTTGAAACGCCTTAAGTGTTTATAACCGACAATGGAAGCCAATTCACAAGTAAATGTCTTAGCAAATATTTACAAGAGTTAGGTGTTCGCCACCAATTTACAGCACCCTACACCCCTCAGGAGAACCCTACCGAACGAGCGAATCGCACCAACAAGACGATGATGGCCCAGGTGGCACGTAATCAGCATAACAAGTGGGATGAATGTATTCCAGAGATTAGCCTCTCCCTTAACACGAGTAATTCGGAATCCACCGGGTATAGACCAGCATATTTAGTCCAAGGCCGAGTACCCCGTTTACCCGCCGCGCTGTATGATGAAGTTGAGTTGGGCACCAGTACAGCCAAGCATAACCCGGAGAGCAAAGCCAAAGAGTTGCAAGAAATATACAAGATAGTCCGGCACCATTTGTGTAGATCAGCCAAGGACAAACGAATACATTATAATTTAAGGAGAAGACCATGGAAACCAATGATAGGAGATTTGGTTTTGGTAAGGCAGCACCCCTTGTCAAAAGCAGTGGCAAGTTATGCAGCGAAGTTGGCACCAAAGTATGATGGCACGTACGAGGTCCTCAATTTTGTTTCGCCTGTAATAGTTCGCGTCCGTGATTCGCTTACGTACGGCTGTCGTAACGCGCATGTAAGTGAACTTATGCCCTTTGTGGATACTAACAGTAAGTACAAATACACGGCCGACCGTGGTTCACCCGTGATAAGGAGTGGGCAGTGTAAGGAAGAAAATCGACCCATATTTTCGTCCACACCAGAAACACAGTTAAAAAATAATAATTTGGATTTTGAAGTAATTAACAAAAATAAATTAATAATTTTATTTGAAAATATTATTTTGTGGAAACTTCTTATAATAGCCTAAAATTTAATTTTAGTATATTTTGTATATTGTGAAATAGAGTAGTGCAGTTGCGACGAAAATGTTTAGCAAAAAATGTAAATTTCAGTAGTGTTGGCGGTTTATTTGGGATACCATTTGTATTTTGTTTTTGCAAAATAGTCAGGCTGAATCCCAGTTTGTTGTTTTTATAAAAAAAAACAACTATTTATTAGTGGGGAATGTATGGCATTGTTTGCCGAGGGGTAAGGCAGGGAAGACTATAGTTTCGGATCACGCCACTGATCCTCATCAGTTCCCTTAGTTTTTTGTTGGGATATTCTCCCAGAAGCTATTGCTTCTATACAAAAAACCTTTCATACCCAAATGTCTCTTGTAACAAAGCGAAGTACTTAGCTGACCAACGACATAAACTGCATGAGAATTTCGCTGGAGCCTCACTTCGAGGTTAACAAGGCATTTACAAACAATACCACACCTTTCCCACTGTTGTGTGTTGTCACATCGCGACAAATGCACACAACGACTTTGTTGGTGTTGCTAGTGTACAGCAACAACCCAAACAGTTTAACCGTGCCTGCGTCTACAACTTCAGTAGTGTTGGCGGTTTATTTGGGATACCATTTGTATTTTGTTTTTGCAAAATAGTCAGGCTGAATCCCAGTTTGTTGTTTTTATAAAAAAAAAACAACTATTTATTAGTGGGGAATGTATGGCATTGTTTGCCGAGGGGTAAGGCAGGGAAGACTATAGTTTCGGATCACGCCACTGATCCTCATCAGTTCCCTTAGTTTTTTGTTGGGATATTCTCCCAGAAGCTATTGCTTCTATACAAAAAACCTTTCATACCCAAATGTCTCTTGTAACAAAGCGAAGTACTTAGCTGACCAACGACATAAACTGCATGAGAATTTCGCTGGAGCCTCACTTCGAGGTTAACAAGGCATTTACAAACAATACCACACCTTTCCCACTGTTGTGTGTTGTCACATCGCGACAAATGCACACAACGACTTTGTTGGTGTTGCTAGTGTACAGCAACAAACCAAACAGTTTAACCGTGCCTGCGTCTACAACTTCAGTAGTGTTGGCGGTTTATTTGGGATACCATTTGTATTTTGTTTTTGCAAAATAGTCAGGCTGAATCCCAGTTTGTTGTTTTTATAAAAAAAAAACAACTATTTATTAGTGGGGAATGTATGGCATTGTTTGCCGAGGGGTAAGGCAGGGAAGACTATAGTTTCGGATCACGCCACTGATCCTCATCAGTTCCCTTAGTTTTTTGTTGGGATATTCTCCCCAGAAGCTATTGCTTCTATACAAAAAACCTTTCATACCCAAATGTCTCTTGTAACAAAGCGAAGTACTTAGCTGACCAACGACATAAACTGCATGAGAATTTCGCTGGAGCCTCACTTCGAGGTTAACAAGGCATTTACAAACAATACCACACCTTTCCCACTGTTGTGTGTTGTCACATCGCGACAAATGCACACAACGACTTTGTTGGTGTTGCTAGTGTACAGCAACAAACCAAACAGTTTAACCGTGCCTGCGTCTACAACTTCAGTAGTGTTGTCAAAAAAACAAAAAACTAAGGGAACTGATGAGGATCAGTGGCGTGATCCGAAACTATAGTCTTCCCTGCCTTACCCCTCGGCAAACAATGCCATACATTCCCCACTAATAAATAGTTGTTTTTTTTTATAAAAACAACAAACTGGGATTCAGCCTGACTATTTTGCAAAAACAAAATACAAATGGTATCCCAAATAAACCGCCAACACTACTGAAGTTGTAGACGCAGGCACGGTTAAACTGTTTGGTTTGTTGCTGTACACTAGCAACACCAACAAAGTCGTTGTGTGCATTTGTCGCGATGTGACAACACACAACAGTGGGAAAGGTGTGGTATTGTTTGTAAATGCCTTGTTAACCTCGAAGTGAGGCTCCAGCGAAATTCTCATGCAGTTTATGTCGTTGGTCAGCTAAGTACTTCGCTTTGTTACAAGAGACATTTGGGTATGAAAGGTTTTTTGTATAGAAGCAATAGCTTCTGGGGAGAATATCCCAACAAAAAACTAAGGGAACTGATGAGGATCAGTGGCGTGATCCGAAACTATAGTCTTCCCTGCCTTACCCCTCGGCAAACAATGCCATACATTCCCCACTAATAAATAGTTGTTTTTTTTTTTTTATAAAAACAACAAACTGGGATTCAGCCTGACTATTTTGCAAAAACAAAATACAAATGGTATCCCAAATAAACCGCCAACACTACTGAAGTTGTAGACGCAGGCACGGTTAAACTGTTTGGTTTGTTGCTGTACACTAGCAACACCAACAAAGTCGTTGTGTGCATTTGTCGCGATGTGACAACACACAACAGTGGGAAAGGTGTGGTATTGTTTGTAAATGCCTTGTTAACCTCGAAGTGAGGCTCCAGCGAAATTCTCATGCAGTTTATGTCGTTGGTCAGCTAAGTACTTCGCTTTGTTACAAGAGACATTTGGGTATGAAAGGTTTTTTGTATAGAAGCAATAGCTTCTGGGGAGAATATCCCAACAAAAAACTAAGGGAACTGATGAGGATCAGTGGCGTGATCCGAAACTATAGTCTTCCCTGCCTTACCCCTCGGCAAACAATGCCATACATTCCCCACTAATAAATAGTTGTTTTTTTTTTATAAAAATAACAAACTGGGATTCAGCCTGACTATTTTGCAAAAACAAAATACAAATGGTATCCCAAATAAACCGCCAACACTACTGAAGTTGTAGACGCAGGCACGGTTAAACTGTTTGGTTTGTTGCTGTACACTAGCAACACCAACAAAGTCGTTGTGTGCATTTGTCGCGATGTGACAACACACAACAGTGGGAAAGGTGTGGTATTGTTTGTAAATGCCTTGTTAACCTCGAAGTGAGGCTCCAGCGAAATTCTCATGCAGTTTATGTCGTTGGTCAGCTAAGTACTTCGCTTTGTTACAAGAGACATTTGGGTATGAAAGGTTTTTTGTATAGAAGCAATAGCTTCTGGGGAGAATATCCCAACAAAAAACTAAGGGAACTGATGAGGATCAGTGGCGTGATCCGAAACTATAGTCTTCCCTGCCTTACCCCTCGGCAAACAATGCCATACATTCCCCACTAATAAATAGTTGTTTTTTTTTTTATAAAAACAACAAACTGGGATTCAGCCTGACTATTTTGCAAAAACAAAAAAATGTAAATTCTAATGAAGATGTAAACATGTCTTGGTCCTTTATATAAAAAAATTATTTTAAGGAAAACTCGAAATAAAAAGCCGTCGTGGCCCTTAATATGATTTTGCTAACCTCTGACCAAATTATGTCAGAGGTTAGCAAAATCATATTAAAAATGTCTTGGTTTGATTTTTCGCGACTGCACTTTCGGAAATGAAACTCCCAATATTTTCTATAATCTTTATTTCGAGCTTGTTGCGCTTCTTCTGATAACTGCCCAATATGTATAAGGGCATTTGACACAATTTCGGTTCCATGAATAAAAAACTTGTGCAAAGTGGTAGGCATATTGTACCAAGGATACGTTTCAACAAAAATTCGTTCTGTTTTGTGTGCATATATTTGATATTTTTATACCCTCCACCATAGTATGGAAGGTATATTAATTTTGTCATTCCGTTTGTAACTCATCGAAATATCCATTTCCGACCCTATAAAATACATATATATATCCTTGATCAGGGTAAAATTCTAAGACGATCTAGCCATGTCCGTCCGTCCGTCTGTTTTAATCACGCTATCTTCCGAAGGAATTTAGATAGGATGCTGAAATTTTGCACAGGTTTGTTTTTTGTCTGCAGGCAGGTCAAGTTCGAAGATGGGATATATCGGTCCACGTTTAGGCATAGCTGCCATATAACAGTAACTCCCAATTTTCGGTATTTTGGGGTTCTTGAGCGCGTTTTTCATCCGAATACACTGAAATTTTGTGCATTGGGTTCATATTGGATACTTAATGTCTCCACTAAAAACTATAAATATAGGCCCACTTTTTCTGATAGCCCCCATATATAAGTTCGAGAACCGCTCTTGTCATCACTTGATGCTAACAAAATCGGCCATATCTTCAAGAGTTGTTGAGATTTTCACTTGAAATTTCGTATGGAAATTCTAGAACTAGAGAAGATTATAATAAAATCAAATTCTTTATTTCCTCTTCAACGCTCTTGATATCACTAATTGGCACATATGCGGTTTCTTTGACAAATTTTCAAGAGCCTGCAAAATCTAGTTGAAGACGGCCGTGGATTTTGGCAAATTACCTTCTCCTAAAATATAATCCTAAGTGGTACACTTGTGGTTAAAAAACTGATGAATCCCTAGAATTCGATCCATGAAAGGCTTGTTTGTATGAGCTATGGCCAGAGCTTCCATAAAAGCCCCATCAAACTAGAGTAGATTATAATAAAATCAAAATAATTTTTAACACCGAGAATAAGGGGGTTCCCTCAAGGCATTGCAACCTTGTGAAACTGATTTCTTTTCGACCACGTTAAAACCACGACCACGTTAACACCAAAAGCAGCCAAAGCTTGTGTATTGGAAATTTTCAAGGTAAAAAGTGGTTGTTTCAAATTGTTTTTCTAAATTTATTCCCTTGCAACACCTTTCATATATAGCTCGCAACACTTTTGATTCCTCGACATAACCTTTGCTTTGTAATTTAACCTGTGAAACATAAAGTAACTCTGGTAATGGCATGTTTTTTTATACCATCCACCATAGTATGGAGGGTATACTAATT